TTCGTTATCCCACTGAGATAAAGCATTTCTGCAGGGTGGCAAAGTACACGTTTTTCTTCCGAGAACCCAACCTCAAGGTGCAGCCATGTCAGAACCTGAGGATGAGTAGTTTCCACCACAATTAGTGGAATGGGACAATGGATGGCTGTTATTAGAACAAAGTCCTTCTTTGCCTAATGCTGGGCACCTGATCACCAACCTGCGACAGTGGCCACAGTCTTCTGTGCCTCAGGTAGTGTGGGAGCTCCCAAATATATATTTCATTAAACAGCTATCATGAATAACTATATAACCTGCTTGAACCTCTGTTGAAGACCTGAGTGCTAGCAGGTATGAGGAACATCTAGGGATAGTTACTTAAGTAGGTGAATAATGTCCACACACGTGACCACACATGGTTTCATTTCCAGCTGAACTGCTGGCCTTGACAATACGGCAATTTGAAGTGGTGATATAAGTAAGAGAAAGAAAATCTAATGATGGGTATTTGGGGGTTTCTGGGGTTTTCTTAGGCAACCGGAAGCCGACTTGCACTGATGACTATGACTGTCTTTACTCTTCTGACCGCCATCATTATTGCTTTCGTATACGGCTGGCAGTTGACTTTGCTTATCCTGGCCTGCATTCCTTTCGTTATTGCTGCAAATGCTGCAAGTGCTAGGTCTATGTCTGGTCACGCCGCAAAAGATCAAAAAGCTTTGGAAGAGGCTGGAAGGGTAAGTTCTCCAATTTTAACTACAAGGTTATTCTGTGAGATCACTTTTAAGGACAACATTGTTGCTATATTACAGCAGACTCAATTATCCAAAATAAATGGTGGGAGGAGAGGGCAGGATGGGAAGGGGTGAGAGATAAAGGGAATGTTTATATATCCCCAAGAAAAGCAAAACATGGGTAACACAAAACATCTGTAAATTAGGCTATAAAATTACACTTGAAAGCCTCCATAGGGGATTTCTGGGCAGGGACAGCTGTAACAGCAGCAGCCCCAGCACTGCTACATCTTGTGCCTGGGGCAAGCAGCGCAGCTCTGTGCTGAGGCCAGAGGCGCTGCAGGTCTGAGCCACCAAGCCCTGGCGCTGCTGCTTTTTTTTTTTATTCCGTCATAGAATGCAAACCATTAATATGCTTGGGAGTTTCAGGATACTGCCTCCGGTCACTTGATAGCACTCCTCTAGGAGACAGAAGTAGTTCACGCAAAAGAGCAAGCTGTACGCTGATGACTCGTTATGTATGGTTAAATTCATTGGAATCACAAACCACTGGTTGGGGTGTAGGGGCTGTTGATGCTTCCTGTGTGCTGACTCAATGATGTGAACTCAAACACACTATTGACATCAGCCTCCACCTTAACTTGTGACCATGGGATGAATAATCTCATTGCTCTGGGCTTTCTTCACCTGGTAATAGATTTTGATTTCATCTCTTAGGCAAGAACTTCCTGATCTAAAGCAAGAAATGCTAGAGAAGAGATGAAATGTTCAGGAGGTATCTTGTAGATTGAAGTTGTAAGGGATTGCCTCTTATTTGTGTTATCTCCCAACACAGATTTCAACAGAATCTGTTGAAAACATAAGAACCGTGGCTTCACTGACCAAGGAAGATGCGTTTTATGAAAGATACATTGCTAGCTTGAATGGTCCATATAGGTGGGATTTTTTACTTTAATAATTCTCTCTTTCTTATATACATTTTAGTCTTTCATATTCATTGTAAATATGTTTCTGGAAAACTATTCAATACCCAGAAGACTGGGAAAGATATCAATAGCCATCTACATAGTTTTAAAATTTGTTCGCTCAGTATACTTTAATATACATTCTTAAATATAGAGTGAAAATACATTTGCAGGGTGTGCCTTTTCATTATGCAAAGATTTTGCAAACTGTGTTCTCTGTGCATGTATTACAGAGTATTGTGTCTGCCTGTGTACATCTAGAACACAGAACACTGTGTATTGCATTAATACTACTTAACTTAGGAACCGACAGTTAACTCCTATACCACACTCTTTATAATATAAGACATTTCTTTTCCTCCCCTCGAATGACTTTTTTCAGCCTGCCACATCCTCACATGTGTCCTTTTTTCAGCCTGCCACATCACACTGACCTGTCTCCACTGAAATGCTTTCAAATCATCAGGGATGCCAGATTTTTTTAGCTCCATTTTATTTAAACAAAATAGCCCCACATTTCATTTGTTTCTTTCCTCCTTAGAGGTAGCTAATATTAAAAAGAAGGAACTGAAAATGATGGATTGTATAACCTGTCCTCAGCCAAAACAGTGTTAAAATTCAATATCTGGTGGACTGGTAATACCGTAGATATGTGTAGGATCCTCACCTGGACTGTTGACAGTTTCTGATTTAAAGTTCAGACCAGAAGGAAGATTTCCATTTCCCCAGAGATCATCCTGAACCATGAGGGCAGGGAATCCTCCAGACTCTGAATCAGTGTGCTACACAAAAAAGAAACTTCTCCAGAAGAAGAGATTGAGAAATAGAGGCTTTGTCTGAATCCCTGTGGGGATACTCAGCAATACATCGCTGCTCTATGTCAGGATGAGAGGTCTTTGCTCAGACGGGAAGACCTGGCAACAGCTCTTAGGCTGGGCTGAAACCTCCTTGTTTTCTTAATAAAATGGCTCATATGTAGTAGTTATTAATTTTATTTTTTTTCTGTTAACTGGTCTGTTGACCTGTAAAGGAATAGATTCAGTATTGCATAACTGAGGATAAGGAATCTCATTGCTTTCTGTCCTAAGGCCAGTTCCGTGGCACCATGTGCAGTGAGCTTTCAGGGTCTGGCATGGATTGTTTGTGAGCATGCATGTGTTCTGGGCTGATTTGTGGTCTTTGCAGGGGGTGAGAAAGCTTAAAAACTTTAACCCAGAAATCTAACAGTTCCCTAGCCAGTGTCCACTGTTTCTGTTTTACAAGATGTTTATGGAAAGTCTCTTTCCCCATCAGAGATTCTCTGAAAAAAGCCCCTCTCTATGGATTTACTTACGGAATAGCTCAGAGTGCAAACTACTTTATCGATGCAGCAGTCTTCAGATTTGGGGCATGGCTCATAGCCCGTGGTCTGACCAACTTTGAAAATATGTTTATGTGAGTAGACTTTATAAAATGGGGTTTTTTTAAAAAAATAAATTGATACGTGGGATAGTAATTTCAGTGCGCTCAAATTATTTCGTCAAATTGCAGAGATAATGGGGCATAGAGATTCAGGAATTCAGTCTGGTTGGCAGTGCAGTTTGGGCAGAAGGGCTGTTTTGGGGAAAGGTGTGTGTTCAGGCAGTTAAACAGCAGTTGTGTGACCATGTTTAACACACCTACTCCCGGGAAATCTTTGCTGTTTGATGTTCTATCCAGGCACAGGGCATTGCCTAGAGAAGTAATGCGACAAAGCTGCTCAGCTGTAAAGTAGTTATGGCAACACTTAGAAATTCCTAATACTGGATGGCACTTTGGGGAGTGAGGAGCTCTAGAAATATAGTAATCTTAAAGATGCTAAAAAAACATCTTATTCCAAAGGCATGTTTTACATATGAGGGAAGAAATGTGTTGTTCTACCTGAAATGAAAGATGCTTTGTCTTTTGTTTTTAGAGTCTTCTCTTCCGTCGTATTTGCAGCGATGAACGTCGGTCAGTCCGCTTCCCTAGCGCCAGATTATGGCAAAGCAAAAATGTCAGCCCAAAGAATCTTCCAGCTTTTAGACAGAAAACCTCTAACTGACACTTACAGTGAAGAGGGTGAAAAATTGGTAAGGTTTTTTTCTTTTTTTTGCTTTAGAGTTTAGGGGCTTTTCTGGCGGAAGTGTAGAGCCTTAAATGTAGCTTTGTCCTCAATGGGCTGAAAAAAAACCCCAACATTTGTCATTCTACTGGCCCACATCTTAAATGGTTTCAAGAACACACTGACAATCTCGGTTTCACTAAGCTGTGTTGTCTTTGTAAGGGTTTACAGGAAAATAAAATACAAATAGATTTTTCTGCTCTTTTTGTATACAAGAGAGTCTAGTTCCTTCAGAGACAGAAAATTTTGTCAGGAGACATCCTCTTACAACTCTGGAAATATTTACAGGTAAAAAAAAGTGAAGCCAAAACTAACTTAACTAATAATCTGGTTTGCTCTGAAGTTGAGGAGTGGACAACAAGGAAAAACCCAACAAGAAAAAAAATAATGCATAAAAAAGAAAAATTAAAAACCCCCTCATGTTTGAAGTGAAATTGTCATTAAGGAAACTGACCTCAGCACTTGCATGAAATACTTTCAGTTTACATGATCTAGAAGGATCCAAGTTCAAAATTAACTTCCTGTGTAGATTTAAAATGGTAGCCCCTGCTCAGGAAACTATAACACATTTTCTATAACTTTAAGCTTATACACAGGATTTTTCAGCCTTGAAAGGTATGAGTACATTTATCAGCCTCTTTGAACCAGGGTCCTGGAGAGCAGACCTCCAAAAGATTTGGCAGAAAGGCCTTGGTAAAACAAAACTTAAATGAAAATGTTTCTGAAATAGACCTGACTCAAATACAGGTGATGCTCACTGTGACTTCAGCAAAGCTTTGAGCTCGTCAAATTACATCATCAGCTGCTGTGAGAGCACCTTAGTAGTGGTTCTGGCTCCTACCCTCAAAAATGAGAGACAGTAGCTTTAGTACGTGCCCCCTTTCTTCCATTTGTGCTTAGAAATCGGTCTGTCTAGAATGGCCAATTAACAACGGTGATTGGTTTTTAAGACACAGCAAGTTCTACCTGCCTGTAAATTACCTACTGAAGATTTTAGCTCTTCTATCTTGACCTTGTGTTACATTCGTTCAAATTGTGCTACCTGCAATGTGACATCAGGAAAGCAAATGCTATAGATTGTATCAAGAGTACAAGTGCCTCAATTAGGTGTGTCAGAAATAAAAAATACTGATGTTTTTTCATCTAATTATATTCTTTTCAAAGGCAAGGTGATAAATAGATAGAAGTGATCCAGAAAACTGATTCTCCAGAAGTATCTAGGGACCTAAATCTGCAGATCAGTCCATAAATAAAGATACATAATAAAAAAGAACTTCCAAAGCAGTTCTGAAAACACTCTTCCTTTTCAGTTTTCACACTTACAAATGTTATCATAGTTAAAGCTAGTAAATGCTAATATGTCCATGTGAGCTCTCTGTTACTTTTCAGAGCAAATTTGATGGCAACATTGAATTCAGAAACATCCATTTTGTATACCCAACAAGGCCAGAAGTTCCAGTGTTGCAAGGACTCAGCCTGAAGGTTAACAAAGGACAGACTCTGGCCTTAGTAGGAAGCAGCGGCTGTGGCAAAAGCACATCCATTCAGCTCTTGGAGAGATTTTACGACCCTGTGGAAGGACAAGTGGTAAAAATAGGCTTGTGTGGCTAACTGTAACACATCTACAGAACTCTTTATCTTTCAAGGTTTCAGAGGCTTTAAATAATCCTGGCAATATTTCCAGTGAGATGCTTTTTCAAGAGGCATGGATTACTGGGGTTGTGGAGCTGTGGACAGCCTCAAGGCCCCTGTCATTGCCTGCCCCACGTGCTCACCACATCCACCAGCACTGGCACCACTGTTGCAGCTCCGGGTGCGGATCTCACCATGTTGGGCTGTGCTGCCTCCCCAAAGCTGCTCATAGCCTGGTCACGCAGGGACATAACATTGGTGTCACTTGCTGGTCTGTGTGAGTCATCTTACTGATATGAATTCACATACTGTGGACGTAGATACGTGCTTCAGATAATACGAGTGTAATCCTACAGGGATGCTACTGCATCACCGTCAGAAGATTGCAACTTTTTGATGCAATCCCCATTAATGGTTATAGAAAGTCCAAGAAACCTCCTTGGAGGTTCTAAGATTGAGTCAAAGGCCTAGAGGTGAGAATATTTATTGTTCTGTTTGGCTTTTTAGGGATAGGCTTTCCCATGTGGCTCCTACTGCTTCTTGTGGTCAGTAGGGCTGGAAGGGCTGCAGGAGCAGCCTGGGGTCTGCCCTCTGTTTCTGTCTGCTGGAAAATGGAAGCACAACTGTGCACAAAGTTAAAAACTAATGAAAGGAAATATTTCATCTATAGAGATGGTTCTTTTCCATTTTGCATGCGAAGTTTACTATATTTTAGCTGGGAATCTAACATGTAACAGGCTTCCTCTTACAATTCGTGTTTCCTGTTTACAGTGTGTGCCTGTGGATGAGCTCTATAGTTAACTTGACATCATTTTTCTGTTGCTTTTTCTAGTTAGCAGATGGATTTGATACCAGATCTCTGAATTCACAATGGCTGAGGTCCAGACTGGGTCTGGTGTCACAGGAGCCCATTTTGTTTGACTGCAGCATAGCTGAAAATATTGCATATGGAGACAACAGTAGGGTGGTTAGTCAGAAGGAAATTGAAGAAGCAGCTAAAGCAGCAAATATTCACACCTTCATTGAAAAACTGCCAGAGGTAAGAGGTAGTGATCTTGACCGTGGAATTATGTCTTTTGAATTATAGTGAGAAATCCTAGGTAATGCTCACTTTCATGCATCAAATTAAAAATAAACTTTTTTTTTCCCTTAATAGGAAAAAGTATAGAATTTATGTTCAAAAATGTCAGCGTGTTTCAGGCTTAAAATATTTCATAGTTTGTTCAAAAAAGCCGATGTTAGTGGTAGACAAAGCAGAATATAGGGGAGTAAAAAAAGTGGACTCTTTACAAATAAGTCCTCCTTATTATTTTGAATTTTTTTTCCTTTGATAGGTGAAACTTTTCAAGTTGCTTTGAGAAAAATGTATTTTTTTCTGAAATAATTCAGTAAAACTAAATGTTCCATTTCTAATTGGATGGGCATGCACAGGGAATGTTGTTTGATGAATAAAAAGGGGCAATAAATCAAAAGTGAATGACATGGCATTTGACCTTCATGCCTGCCAAGAATTTTGGTTCTAGCAAGGAAAATTGTTTTGATAGTTTGTTTTCACTGTGGTTCTGTGTAAATTGAAAGTGATGTAATGATGCTGAAAAACGTTTCATCTTTGTTACTACTAATAATGTTTGGGATTTGTTATTCACCAGTAACACAAGATCAAGTTCTTCATGTAGGTGTCAGTAGGCATTAAATCTCTAGTTACTCTTATAATCATATGCTTGTGGGCAGATATCTGTGGACACCTTATTGCTCTATCACTGGTGATATTATTCAAGAACTATTCTAGTCTTTGGCAAAGTAAATTTTCAGACCACGTATAAATATGTGTGCCTGTATACATAATTAAGTGTAAAGGTGTTATAGAACCTTAGTTTATTAAAACCACTTTCACTGTTCTTTCAGGATGGAAATACCTAATCATTTTTATAGCCACACATAAAAATTTACTTTTCTAATCTTCCTTCTCTAAGAGTATTCACAGGCTTTCTTTTTTTTTTTTTTTTAATTTTTAACACTCAGAAATATAATACCAGAGTGGGTGAGAAGGGAACGCAACTTTCTGGAGGTCAAAAGCAAAGAATAGCAATTGCCCGTGCTCTGGTTCGTAATCCTGCCGTTCTGCTTCTGGATGAAGCTACCTCTGCTCTTGACACCGAAAGTGAAAAGGTGTGTAATGATTATTCTGTGAAGTGCATATGTCTATGTGCATGACTAGTAGCTTTCTGTAGAAAAAAATAGCACAAATGTGTTGCAAATGCTCAGCTGTGAAACAACAGGGCAGGTGTATCACGATGTTTTTTCTAGCTGCAAGCTGTGAATTGAAGGTTACTAGGAAGCTGTGCACATTGATTAAATAAGTAGAAAACACTATAAGTAGAAAACACCATGGGGAGCTTCTGCTCTTCAGTTGTCTTCCTATCAGCTGTATCTGATGATAAATACTGAATTTGTGGTCTGATCCAAACTGGATGCTCAAGAACCCACTTCTCAGTATCTCGTACTTGTTCGATCCATCTCACTGAAATCAGTGAGAAAACTCTATTGAATAAGGGTCTCATGTATGCACTGACTTGTATAGCTGTGGGGGAGGTACTTGGGTGGTAACAGAGTAAGAAATCAAACATGGTTCCTATGATAAGAGAGGGTTTTCCAAGTGCTAACAGCATTTTCACAATATTTGTGTGCAGATCGTCCAGAAAGCTCTGGATAACGCTCGGCAAGGTCGAACCTGCATCGTCATTGCTCACCGCCTGACGACTGTGCAGACTGCAGACATCATTGCGGTGATCCAGAACGGCAGGGTGGTTGAGCAGGGCACCCACAGCCAGTTACTGGCAAAGGAAGGACACTACTATGCCCTTGTAAATGCACAAGTCTCTCATTAGTACTGTTTGCTGATTTTTTTTAATTTTGTTTTCCTGGGAAAATACGAAGAGCTTACAGATAATTAATCTTTGGCTGTGTTGCTTCACCAGCCAGATGCAGACATAAAGTTGCCATAATTACAGATGACTGTCAGTTCTGACTGATTGCTGAGATTCCATATAAAGGCATTTGTATTAAATTTACAGGGAAGGTGTTGGATGTGTGGGTTTGTTGGGGTTTTTCCCCACTTTATGCCACATTTCTAATATTATTGTGCTTCACACATTTCTTGGTGATTCAATAATTTTATTTCAGACAATAATTGTAATAGTTACAAGATTTCCATATAGAGATAAACTGACATAAAAGATACCATTGTTTTGTTTAGTGTTTTTCAATCACTAACCTAACAGAGTTTAATTACTCTTTGCATCCGTTATGTCCTGTGGGGCAACTACAAGGGCTTCTTTTGGAGTGGATTAATGTCAGCCATGTAAATAGATTTTCTTTTTTAAAAAAATAATAAATTAAAAATTTGTTTTCAATATGAGATCTTTTATTTTGAATAGATGCAGCACTTAAGGGCATCGTTTAGTGGTGGACTTGGTAATGTTATGTTAATGGTTGGATTTGATGGTTTTAAGAGTCTTTTTCAACCTAAATGATTCTACGTTTCTATGAATAATTTTAAAGATTGTCTGAAGCGTCGACAAAACTCATTTACACACGTGCTTTAATGAGTGCTGTAATACATCCTTCAACAGTTGAAGAATAAGTACTGTGTAGTCAGAGTGACTCAGCAGCTGGGCTTTTTTGGCTGGTTGAACCCAATTGCAGCATTTCACTTTTCCAAGGCTTTGCACCTGGCTTCGGGTTAGGATTTACGGCCTGGAGCAATTTGCTGTACTTTATAATTTCCAGATAGCTCTGATCAGTTGTAGCAGACAAAACTTACAGTAATGACAGTCTCCTTTGCTCATTTGAATTGTTTTCCGGCATCAGGATTCATGAGGAGAATAAAACTCACAAAAGAAAACAAATACTGGTCTCAGCTTTGCCAGAATAAATACAGTCATTCTCCCTCACACAATTTTTCTCAGGGACTGCTACAATAGGACTTATCACTCATTCAGGCACCCTGCTTGTGTGATCCCTTCTTTGTCATAGACAGATACTAGAGGAGCTGTTGCCCTTATTATGTTCCCAATTATCCAATGTCGACTCCAGTTAGTTCTCTTTTCCCTATTTTGTTTCTACACTGCAGTTAAAATTACAAGCAGTATAGTTCAATTTTCAGCTTTGAAAATAAAATATCTTACTTCTTAACCCAGAAATCTTTTGGAGAAAGAGTTATTTTGTACTTTTGGAGTTAGAGGTATATTGGGGGGGGGGTATTATAATTCTGATGAATAATATTTTTTAAATATTACAATTCATTATGGTCTATTGCAGTAAGATGAAGTAAAAAATGGGAAATTAATTTAAATAATTAGAGGAGATAATAGTCACTAAGCTAGAGCTGTGTAACGTAATGAATCATCTACCATCTGGGGCTAGTTAATCTTTGTGGAAAATCCTGCGTTCACATCCACGCAGATAACAGAGAAGAATCCAAAACGTGCTTCTTTCCCACCAACTTTGAATTATTTACTAGCACAGAGCCAAGAGGAGTGAGGAAATATGCACTATTTGACCTGGAAGGTGCTGAAAGAGCTGCGGTATGATCAGCCTAGAAAAATATGTTCTGTGACTTTTGTTTCCCCTTATTTGCTCTTTGAGGTCAACGCTACCTACCATGGAAAGAGAAGTGATTGCGCTTGCATCCCTTTTGGCATGTTCCTCACCCTTGTTTACACAGAGCATTCTCATACCGCAGTAGCTGGACAGGCTCAGTACCAGCTGTTTATGTTAAGGATTGTTCCTGATGGAAAGGTAGGCAGGGGTTTTGGTTGAAGCCCAAAGGAGCAGGTGCTGATGTTGTGATGGAGGGAATGTTCTGCTCAGGGCTCTGGGAAAAGAGCAGTGCCCAGCAGCTGTGCCTCAAGAATGTTTTCTGGTCACATATGATTTGAAAGGGGAAAGAGCAAACATAATCGAAGTAAATATTGTTGATTTAGTTAAGTTTGCAAGTTGTTATGTAACATATGAATATGTTTTACTGGTTTATCTCAGAGGGTCAAAGCCGCTCCCATCACAGCCCTGCTTAAAGATCAGCTGCAGACCTGAGAAAAACACCAGACAACGGCAAGTCCTACCCAAGAAAAAAGAGACAGTGAGCAAGAAAACAGGGCAAAAATCCCAAACACTTGTAATGACAGAAGAGTACGCTACTGCACAGCTGCTGACAGACAGACCGAACTGGAGGACTTCACTGACTACATGAGATATAAATAGATTAATATGCTCAGCATATAGGCACTAATAACAAACTCTGTGCTCCAATCAGTTATTTCAGATGGTTCAGGTCACCTTCCCAGCTGGATATACCTGTAGAACATACTGACTGTGCTAAGATTAAAAGCAGACATAAGTTCTGAGACAAATGTATGTTGAAAGCACCTTTTCAGCACCAAACCTTAGACTGATGTAGAGATCAAAAGACTTAGCCCCGACAGAAAAGAAAAGCCCATGAAGGCACCTCTTAAGAGACAGGACTTGTTGGTCCAGTCATTCTCTGTCCTGTGGTGCCATCTACCCCAGATGTCAGGGTTAAAAAAAAGACTTCCCTATCCCTGCCCAAGCAGAGGATAGTGTTCACCAAACATGCCCTCAATATGATGAGTCACTGCTGGTGGCACTGCAGACCTCATCCCTAAAATGACTGCCACCAGAATAGTGATGAAGGAAACACATCAGCCCACACTTGTCAGGAACACTAAAGGCTTCATTCATGACTCGACAAGAAGTACTTAGCCCAGACACTTGCTTTATGCCAGCAGTGATCTAAGCCTCCTACGGAATGAGTACTCCTACAGATTAATTATTACGAGAGTGAAAGCTTCAGAGAAGGCATTCACAGGGGATTGTGGAGAAAGAATTGAGTGTTCCTTAACCATTTGACTCCATTACAGTAGCATAGATTGCTGTTAAGTTTTATTAAAATTTTGCAATCATTCATCTAATTACAATGTTAATTACTAATGCACACTGAAGCCCAGAGATAGGATAAATAGTTGACAGGAGCATGTAAACTAGAAGTCGTAGGACTGATTATCTTTTTGGCCTCAATGAGATAATTGTCCCTTTGTTTATATGAGCATTGGAGTACACCAGTCCCAGTGGGTCATTCCTGGATGTGCTATTTCAGTTTGAAATACCTGTCAGCAATTCAGGAATAATGCTGTTTGCAAAACAGTAAATTAACATTTTATCATCCCGTGTTTTGTCCCAAATGTCTACTTTCCTCTGCAGCCTATAAAATTTCAATTTCTATCAATCTCAAGAAGAAGTTATTAATGCTGGATGTATGGCAAGAAGGAAAACTTTCATGAAAACTGCAAGTCACAACCCTTGTACTTATAGAAACCATGTTCTTTTTTTTTTGAAAAGTGGTGAGGAAAGAAGAATTGGAGTTTTTTAGGGTCAACGGAAATACTAGTACATAAATGTGTACCTGGATTAGATTTACGAGTTTTAATTAAAATTTGAAGAGTTTGCAAAATTCTGCTTAACGATCTGTGGCAGGTGATACATAACCTGTCCTTTCTTGGCCACCGTGAACACACACTGCATTGCTGCCTTTTCACTTATGTCTTTGCAAATGGGAATTTGGCAAAGGGAGGGCTTATGGGGCTCTTGTCATATTGAGCTGTAGGAAAATTCCTGTCACACTTGGGAGCTGGCCTATTTAAATGTTAATGCTCAGTGATTTCACCTAATTAGTAAAGGAAATGTTAAGAAACTATGCAAGATCGTCAAGGTCTGCTCACTTGACATTGCTGGAGGGTTTGAAGTGAACCTGCTCTCCTGGACTGAATCTGCTCTAGCAAAATAGCTGCCCTTCTAACACTGTTTAAAAAAAAAAAATGCTGGATCTTGCTCTTCTGGATCCTGCTGTATAGATACCAGTAGGACAGCTGATACCCTGATGCAGATATTGGATTTCAAAAGTATCTTGTGCCTCCCCTTCCGTGGAGAAGTGTTTTGTCACTGCAATGCTTCAGCTCTGCCTGCGTTTAGGGCTCTCCTGCTGCCCACTACCATGGGTGCTCTACCCAGGGAACTCATTTATTCTAAGGAGAAACAACCAAAAGCAGAAGAGTTCAAAAGCTTTATTTGGAGCCATGGTTGTGTCTTGCTGAAGAAGGAAATAAAGTGAAAGCTTTTCCAAGGTATCTCCAAGCTATTCTTTTTGCAAATGGACTTGGATTATACTGGAAAATATATGGTCTGATGGTCACTACAGCTATATCCAAATTGTACGTGAACTGGTCCAGACGGTGCATGAAAGTTAGTACGTTACTTGACCTCTTCTGCATATCTGTCTTGCTGTATGTAGGCCAAATATGAGCTCTGCAAAACTATCTTCTCCATGTCTGTGACATTAAGGCCTTTCTAAAATTTTCAACAGTTAGGCAAGAGGAGAAATAGACAAGAAGAGAAATAGCTAGGCAATGAGGCCACAAACAGCATATATGTAGTTTCTTGTAAAATATACTTGAGGGGCTTATCTTGTCGAATCCTTATCCTTAGCTACTTGAAAAAGTACTGATAATTTTCCATGCAAAGGTAGAAGAATCCAGTGGCCTTGCTATTCTGTATCAGCCTCCAGCTGCCCTGTATATAAACCTTAGTACAGGTTGCTCATCACCTTGACATTTTTCAGAGTTAGAGCTCTCCCTGACGGTTCTCTTCCAGTTGCTTGGGCTGCTTTTCCTCCTCAAGCACCTTTCTTAGCACATGTGGCAGATTCTGCACCATGTGATCCAATACCAAAGAACAGACAAAGATGAGAGGCAAAGTGCCAAATGGAACAATGATGCAAAGGGTTTACTTTCTAAAATTAACAAAAATTTCTCAGCAGAGA